GAGGATAATAGGAAGCAGGTTAGTGCTCACGTCTGATTTATTATTGCACCTTAAAGTGTTAGAGTAACTCTAAAATATTGTATTTTTGTTTTTATATCATTTTAGTTAATGTGTTTTAAATCACCAGTTTTTCATTTATTCATGAGTTAAAAGAGTAAAAAAAAAAAAAAAAAAAGGAAGTTAAGATTCATTTATGCACAATGATCAATTACACAAAATTTTAACTATTTATTTATTTATTATGAATAATTGAAATATATTTATTTTTTATTCTATTTTTAAAAATAATTATTTTTTATTTAAAAAATATAATAAATCTCAACCATTTTATAGTGAAGAGATAATTAATCAAAATTTATATAAATATATCATAACTCAAAATAATATTTAATATTAGCACTCACTTTAATATATAACAATAACATCACCTTAGATTCCATTTAGTATAGTTGTATTTTAAGTTTTTTGTTTTTATTTTTATAAATTTTGTAACTCTCAATAAAAAATTTGTTTGCTTTTACGTATTTTTACAACTTATTATTATGAGAAAAATGAACAAAAATCATTTTAATACTATTAAACAAGTAAATATTTCTATTTGCTAGGATTAAAATCTGTTTTAAACAAATTTTTAATTTTGATTTTAATTTTTGTTTTTCAATGGGTTGTCAAATTTATAAAAACTAAAACCAAAAACTCAAAACCACAACCATATCAAATGGAAGCTTAGTTTTCTATCCTCTTTTTTGGTGGAAATTAAGATAAAAGCTTTTTTCCTATTCTCTATAAATATCATTAATTTATTATACAAAAATAGTAGTAAGTCAAATTAAATTATATACAAAAGCCAAAGTAAAACAAGTAAAAAAAGATAGCTTAGCACATTTTCATTATACGATAGGAGTGGACTGGCAAACTCTTTCTGTTTGAGTTCATTAATATTTCTTACCCATTTAGCTAACAAAAATACAAGATGATAGACAAGAGTTGAATATTAATAGTCTCTGCATGTATAAACCTTTAGGTGAAACAATTCTTGATACGATAATTTCTCCCTTTTCTTTAAAGAAATTTTTGAAGATGAAAGTTGCAGTGATTGGAGGTGGGATTAGTGGGTTGGTTTCCGCTTTTGTTCTTGCAAAAGCCGGTGTCAGTGTTGTCCTGTACGAGAAGGAGGATTGCATGGGCGGTCCTGCTAAGACTGTGACTTTCGATGCTGTTGATTTGCACCTCGATTTCATGTTCTTCAACCCCGTAAGTTCTTAGTTTTCTAGGTTAATTACTTAAAACGCTGTTAGTTATTGTTTTTTATTTTTTATATGCAGTAACATTAGTAACTCAGGTTCTTTATAAGAATCAAAATCAGAAATAAATACTTTAAAGGAGCCTTAATATTTCTTTTTTTTAATGGTATTTTGTTTCTATTTCTTTTTTTTTTTAATGAAAAATATTAATAGTTCTATTTTTTTTATGAAAAATAAAATATTAATGTTACAAGACCAACTTGAATAGGATAATATGCTAGAGGTATTACACTCATAAAATGAATGAAAATGCAAAATAAAATAATTTAATACCTATATAAATATTGCAGCCAAACTCTAACTCAAGATTTAACAATTAAACCGTATTCTAACATAATTTATCCGAATAGAAGATAAATTGGTTGAGGAAAAAAGATTTAGCTAGGGACCATGTCCCTAACCAAGCCTTTAACAACCAAGGCAAGCACAACAACCGATCTAAGTTCAATCAATATCATGTTCAAGTTGCCATTTTCCTTCACTAAGAGTGAATCTCAATAAAAAAAAAAATATTGAGAAAATCAAGGCTGAAACCCTTGAAAAAGAGGGAGAAACCTCTAGAAGAGAGGGAAAAACCCTCATAAGAGAGTAGAGAACTTTCACCTTTAGTCATCCACCCTAACCACCGAAGGGGAGAGAAGCAGTGACTAGGGGAAAGAAGAAAACAAGAGAAAGAGGATAAAATTAGGGTGAGAGAAGGAAGGTGTAACGCTCCTCCCTTAGGTACCCTTAGGCCTTCAAGAGTCCTAAAAAAAAATAAAAAAACTAAGAAAAAGATGGCAACGAAAATAAAAATACTTCTAATGGAAATATGCTTCCCAAAAAAAGAAATATGCTTTCAAGAACATACTTGAACCACATAGAAGGAGAATCAATTACCTATAAATGAAGACCAATTTAATAAACAAATATCTTTAAAAAGATGCTAGAATACTTGAAACTATAAAATAAGCTAAACAAGTCCGTTTTACTTAAATTAAACATTTTGTACAAAAAGTAATTTACACAAAAATGCATGAGCACATGCTCTTCTAAATCTTTTCAAAATAACAAAAACAAAGTCATTGTTTTGGTAATACATTGCACTGCCTTTAGGTCAAAAGCACTGAAATCCTAGCTTGTACATACAATGAGCATACGGGACATGTGCCAAAAGCTCTTAAACTAGGAGGCTGCTACCTCGATCTACTGATCTAAAATGGGGGGAAATATCATGAGCTAAAAGCCCAATAAGTATGAAGTTTAAGCCATAAACTTCAGTCCTAGGAACCCTAGACCTATACACACAAAGGGCATAATAAACAACTACACCAAGTCAAATAATATTTAATTCAAATTCAAGTCACAAGATCATATGCTCACAATGCCATGTCACAACAAAATGCATAGAACAAAAATCACACAATGCTATGGAGTCCACAGATGTGTGCTAGTAATACTTGTACCAAAGTAATCACAGTACTTATCCTACTGTGCAAAGGTCCACTAAATACCCCAAATGGACCATTGAATGCCCCATACTTTAAGCTCAAGTCCACTTACTCCATAACCACAAGCACATACACATGTTAAACATGTTTAGAACATGTCCAAAATAATATTAGAATATTATTCCATTTAATGTTCCCATTAATCGATGGCATGGACAATTCAAGTTCATACTAATATCCACATACACAGCTCGCATATTCCATTGAACTTCCTATTGAAAGAAATTAAAGCTTAGTGTGTGAACAGTAATTATAGAAGTAACAATTTACTTCCAGGCCCACGCACAATTCCAACAAGGTCCAATTAACTAGACAACCCTCATTTTTTCATGCAAAGAATACAAAGGAGCAACAGCATATTATTTGACCATCAAATCCACACTAAATTCAAACATGAGAAATAAATTCTTCAACCTCATACAAGCCTCCATATTATCCTATATTTCTAACAAAGTTTTCAATGCTCAAAAGTCTCTTAAACTAAGGATTAAGATCTAATCTCACTAATTTAAGCTAGTTTCCATCATGTTATAGGAAATCTTTAATCTACTAACCCAAATTTATAACCAAAACTCATACTTACCTATGGAAATCAAGCACCAAATTGAAGAAAAACAGTAAAAATTGAAAGGAAATTCAAGGAGAGCACTACAAGTGAAGATAGCAACTTCTCATCTAACCCTCACGGCTTGGAAAAGAAAAGGGAATAGGTCCGGGAGGTTAAAAGAAGAAATGAAGATTTGCTTTTCGAAAATCTTCTAGAGCCCCGTGAGTTGACCCATAAATTGCCACATGTCTCAAATTTTGGGTAATATAGTTAAATAGTCCCCAACTATCTCAAGATTTCACAGAAGGTTCACATACTCTAAATTTAATCAATTTAGTCCCTAAAATTATAAAATAAAGGGTTCTAATTTCCAAATTTATTCACCAAGGTACATGAGATGTTACAGTAGGGAATTAAAAATTTTTTAAAAAAAGTAGTTAATTATGCAAGTAGTCTATCATTTATATTAATAATTCTATTTGATTTAGATATTTAAGAATAATTGATAGGAAAATAATACATACACCTTACAAAATTACACATTCTATTGCACTTTTACAATTTCTATTATTTTTGTCGTTAAAACTGATAGTTTCCATTATTTATGCAGTTAAAATTAACGGTTTTCGTCACACACTGACGAAGAGTGTGTAACGGAAAGTGTAACTGTGTAGGATGTATATATTATTATTCTGATTGATAATTATTCACATAATATATTTATTAACTAGTTTTTTATTTGTCAGTACGCTGCATAGGTTATTTTTTAGTTTTTCTTATTAGGGCTTACATTTTATACTATTTTTATCAATTTTTGAATTTTTTTTATCAGCATCAATTTTTATCAATTTTTGAATCTTATAATAGTTTTTTAGTTAAAGATTCTACTTGAATGATTAAAGCTAGATTTGAGACTGCATTTGGTAATTAGTAATAATACTTTTTCAAGGAGTTATACAAAATCACATTAAAAAGAAATAATATTAAGAGAATTCAAGAAACATTCAATTTTAATCTGTTCTCTTTTTTTTAACTATTATTTTAATTAAAGATTCATATGATATTTTCTTTTCTCTTGCTTAAAGAACTAAAGTTAAATAAGAACATGAACTCTTTCAAATCTTGCATTTCAAGTACTTTAGAATTATGATAAAACAAAAAATAAAACTAAATAACACTTTTATTAATTTCTTGTCCAGTTATTTTAGCCTATGCATTGCACATTTTTTTATTTTATATCTATATTATATGATTTTCTTTTGTAATTATTTTAAAGAAATGTGAATTGTATTTGTTAATTAGATTAGAAGACAAAACTACAGAGTTTTTTGCATTATGTATTGGAAAATATGTTTTTGAATTCATTTTTCACCAAAATATGAATTTTGCCTTAAGGTAATTTTGAATTTTTACAACCCAAACTATACTTCTTGCGTAGTCCTTCTTGTGTAGTCCAGTTTAAAGAAAGGGCTCCCATATATTGTAAATTGGAAGTTTAAAACTCTTTTAAATGATTAAAATTTGAGATTATTTCGATTTTATTACATTAAATTTTATCATTTTGGTTTTATCTTTGTTTTTTTTTTCTAAATTTTGAGTGGTTCATCTTTGGGAATGCAACTTTTTTAGCAATAAAAATCCTTATTATTTTAAAGAGATTTGAAATCTTAGTGTTTTATCTTATTGATGGTTAATCTTGTAATAAAACAATAATTATCATTTGTATCATGTTGCCTTTTTGTCTTTAACTATATATCATAATATAATAGTTACAATTGAGATTACATTTTTTATTAAGGAATTTTTGTACATTCATTGCTTTTGCATTTCATATTCACTTGCACTTTCATTTTTAAGTTGAGCAATAATAGTAATATTAAATAATAATAGTACTCTCATCTTTAATCTTTAAGTTCACTTACATCTCTTACATATCACCTCATGCCTATCATAAAAGTAAATCATATTTAAATTGTTACTAAATTATTTTAATTTTTTTATTTATCATTATTTTTAAAATTAATTTTAAAATAATACAATAATTATCATTTTTATGTTACATCATTAATTATGTGCATCTTGATTCCATTATTAACTATAATAAATCATAAATGAATTTTTATATATTCACAACTTTTTTTGTTTTCCATGCACTCTTACATTTAGTTTCCTTTAAAATATTAATGTAAGATTTTTTATATTAAAAAAGGTTTAAAAAAAGTCTTATAAATTTGGAAAATGATAAAAATAAATTTAAATCATTTAAGGCCTTCAATATTACACAACTAATTATTATACATTGTAATCCTATAATTTGTTATTATTCTTTATAAATATTGGGTTTTTATTCTTTTACCTTTGGTTTAATGCATTGTATGTAACTAAAAGTAATAATGATAGATAATAATAATAATTAAGAGGAAGATTAGAAATTGAAGAAACTAAAAAAGTTAAATTAAATTATTAATCACATTTATTATGTTCTTATGTAAAAATAATATTTATTTTTTAATTTTTAATAATTAAAATAAAATGACAAAAATTAGTGATTAATTAACGCTAAGGTTACATTTTATTATATAATATATATAGATAGATACATAAAAAAATTCTACGATTTCAATCAAATGACAAAATTTCATCCCTAATTATTGATTTGGGAACACTTTATATAATATATAGATATAGATATTATAATTTTTAATGCTTACAATTCAAATGGAAGAATATGAACTCTTATTTCAATAAATGGTACTTTCATTCTTAATTTCTCTTGTTATGTTAAACCCTTTTCCTCCCTCAATTTTTTTTATGAAATATACTTTTTCAATAAGATTATATTAAGATTAAAAAAAAATACTACAAAGGGATTTCTTCTTCTTCTTGAATAGTTTCTTATAATCAATGATCTCGAATATATATCTCAAGATCACTTTGACTATTTCACTCAATTTTTTGACAATATAATCAAGATAGAATTGGATTATGTAATTATTATAATATGCAACACGATATGTATTCTTATTCTTTTCATGTAATAAACATTTTCTTTAACCAACTTATCTTTGAATTGCAAAGCATTGGAATTCTAAATTATAACAAGAGTAAAATTTTTTTGCAAACAAATTTGTTAATATAAATCGTTAAGTACCATTGTATGTAATAACTTATAAAATTTTCTTCTCGTCGACAAAACCATTTCAATTCTTAAATAGTCCTTATCATCTTTCAAACTAAAAAAATCTCACAATCTATATATTGCACTTTAATTTTCTAATCTTCTTTGTCGAATAAAGGTTAATCAATAAATACATATTTCACATCTTTTGTAATTGATTTACTTTTAAATACTTTTGAAATTTTAGCAATAAAGTATTTCAAGATAAGATAAAATATATAACATAATTAGGGAAAATATAAACAGGTGGTTAGAATCAAATACCTATTTATATTGAGAAAAAGTAATCGAAGTGCCTATATCTTGCAACTAATTTTTGGATTAAAAAATCTTTTGTATAAAACATTTAAAACCTTGAACTCGCTTATGATTAGATGAATGTACATAAGGAGGATAAGGGAAAGAATGAGTTTAAATTCGTGACACTTGACTTTTCATTTTCTTAACTCTTCAATTTTTGAATGTTTAGACATTAACTTTTCATTTTCTTCATTTATGAGTTTTTAAATACTTAGACTTTTGGTCTTTCATGTTAAATTAACTTTACATCTTCATCTACCACATTCATTCATCAATTATTTTTATCATTTATAATTTTCATTCATTTACCTCTTCATCTACCACTTTCATTATCATTTACAATTTTTATTTTTAAATTTCACACACTTTCTTTTTTTTTAATTAATTAAATGCATATCCTATTAAATGTATAAGGTAGTATTTTATATAATATATATAGATAGTCATGATTTTGCAGTACTTTCTCATAATATATTTACTGCACTTTTTCTGAGTTATGTGACTGTTTGTTCTGGCAGTCAGCATGTCCTAATATGATGGAGTTGTTTGAGAGTCTTGGGGTGGATATGGAGACATCTGATATGTCATTTTCAGTAAGCCTGGATAAGGGACAGGGTTGCGAATGGGGCAGCAAGAATGGCCTGTACAGCTTGTTTGCACAGAAAACCAACCTCCTTAATCCATACTTTTGGCGGGTGCTTAGAGAAATTATCAAGTTCAAGGATGATGTCCTTAGGTCATGACCCGTTCCCTTCCTTCTTCTATTTTCTTTTTTAAATAATAAGTAACAATCATCTTTTATACTTAATAAAAAATAGTTGTTGTGTTTTACTTTTTAAATAAAAAGAATTCCCTTATATCTTAATCTATTTTACTCACATGCAATGTAATGAACACCAATCCTTCCCACCAATTAAAGAATTTAGGTCGTGGACATGAGTTGTTTTCTCTCATTTACATAACAATTTTCACTACGTAAGAAAATAAAGTAAATAATAAAAATATATTTAATTTAAGTGAAATGGATGAGGTGGGAGGGAATAAGAGAAGCTTCTTTTATTAATATATACTTTAATAAGAGAGAAAAAAAAATTAGAGAGGAAGGGGAGAAAAACTTTACCAAAAAGTATTTTATATACGAATTATATATTAAAACTATTAAATAATTTTATAAATTTATTAAAATATTTTTAATAAAATTATTTTTTAATAATATTTTAAGAAATTTATAGAATAAATTATATTTTAATATAAAATCTAGACTATAAAATATAAATCTCAAACTTTTTTTTAACTATTATTTATTTACTTCAATCCTCCCCTTTCTTGTCCATTTTGCTCCAACTAAAGACAAGCTCTAACTACATCTTAATTAATTTATATCATATTCACATCTCCTAGCAATAATGCAAAGGTTGAACCTTTATCATTATTTCATCTGGTTGTTACAGTTATCTCGAAGTACTTGAGAACAACCCAGACATTGCTCGTAAAGAGACTTTGGAGCAGTTTGTCAAGGCACGGGGTTACTCTGAATTATTTCAGAAAGCTTATCTGGTGAGGTCATTGATAAACTAGATTTAAATTCACTCTTCTCTAAATAAATTCTATTTGTTTTTACATTCATCAACTCGGTAGAGATGACACGTTAAGAGTTTCTATAGGTCCCAATATGTGGTTCCATATGGTCCTGCTCTTCACAGGGAGTTGTAAACTTTTCAGCTTACTCTGTTCTCTCATTTTTCCGAAATCATCATCTACTTCAGGTACATTCTTCCCCAACTATGAATTATACCCGGTCATATACTGACTTGTGTTTGTGTATATGCCGGTGAGAATGCCACTAACACTGTGAGTAGTTTCCTATGTAAGTTCTTACTTCATGATCCTTGTTTTAGCTGTCAATATGGTAAAACTTGCTCAAAAGGTAGTCATGCTGCTTTCGTACTAAAGCTTTCCTTACCAAAAGTGTTTATATTTTTTTAATGGGTGCATCACTAATTGCTTGGATGTTTTGTTTTTGTAGCCTTTTGGCCGTCCGCAGTGGCTAACAGTCAAAAGGCGTTCACATGCTTATGTCAATAAGGTAAGGTGTTTCTTTTTTTGGCCATCCAATATGGTAACGTGTTGGTCTGTCCGACTTTCTCTTATTTCTAAAATGTCATGAATATACTTAATTAATTTGTGCATTGGCACTTCAAAATATTCGAATCATGTTCAATTGCTTTATATGTAAGCTCAAAGCATATCCTTTACGATTGCATGATTGACTGTATCAGGTCAAAGAAGAGCTTGAGACCAGGGGTTGTCAAATAAGAACTGGTTGCGAGGTACAGGCTGTTTTGACCGCTGAGGGTAAGAATTTTAGGTTCATCATATAGAAAATGCAAAATGCTAGTTAACTAACCATTAGAATTAGATGCTATGCCACTCAGGGTATATATGCTTAGAAGTGCTACTAAAGAACCAGCAACTGCATGCCTAACATAAAAAAGAATGAGTAGGCAAAATTGGATGGAATTTGAATCATCAAGCCAAAAGGGTAAATAAAAGATAAACACTAACATAAAGATAGGAAATTCTTTCTTTTTTGAATTTGCTCATATGTCAATCCTATCATTTTTTTCTCTTTGGAATGTTTTGCCTATTGGCCATCTGGATCCTGTGATAAATGCATTACTATTTTTTTTTTTTTTTTTTTGCTTGGCAATGCAATTCTACATAAGCTTTTCAAAATGATCTTGATTTGATCTATGTTTGAAATTAACAGAAACAATAATAATTTATGATGGTTCTGGTGTCATTCATTCATTGCTTATGGATATGTTTCATTCTTTTTAATCTCCACTAATCAGAAAGTGCAGAATGTTATCAAGTACAGATATGAAGATGGTCATATAAGTTTCTTACTCTCAGAAATTATTGGTAGTTAACTCAAGAGAAATTGTTTTTCAGGTTGCACTGTGTTATGTGTAGATGGTTCCAAAGAAAGGTTTGCTGGATGCATAATGGCTGTCCATGCTCCTGATGCTTTGAGGTTACTAGGAAATGAAGTAACATACGAAGAATCAAGAATACTTGGTTCTTTCCAATATGTCTACAGGTACCTTTCTTCCTTGATTTAACTTATTGAACCTTGTGAATTTGCAACTCAATGTATCTTCTTTTTTTTTTTTTCGCCAAACAGGTGAATGTGTCAAAGATGTGAGACTAACCTTGTGAATTTCACAGAAAAATTCCTTTTTTTGCTAAAATCATACATTGTTTTCCTATATACTGTAGTCTGTATTTCTGGTTTTAAAATGTGATGCAAATGGAACAGATATACCTCTCATCTTAATGATTACTCAATGCAGTTCTGCACAATAATTTGTTAACTCTTCATTGGCAGTGATGTTTTCCTTCACCGTGATAAAAATTTAATGCCCAAAAACCGAGCAGCATGGAGTGCGTGCAATTTTCTTGGAAGTACAGAGAAGAAAGTATGTTTGACATACTGGCTCAATGTGCTTCAGGTACGTAACTTTCTGCTTATATTGAATTTGAATCTATGGCTCTAAGAAATAGTTTGAGAGGATGGTATGTAATTCTAGGGGACATTGTCAGTACTTAAATCAATATCTAGTCATTTGTGTTATCATGGGGCATAATGATCAGTAGGGAGGACAGTTTAAGAGCTTCAGCAAGAGAGATTTATATTGCACTAATCCCAGAAAATTTAGGAATTGACAATTATATTTTTTCTAGTGGAAGGAGGAAATTTTTTTAAGAAAAAATAAACTAATTTTCTCTATCAATTAGGTAG